TTCTTCTTTAGTAATGCTTTATTTATTAGAAGCCTCTTCCCTTTCCATATGAAGTTGGTGATTTGTTTCTCCATCTCATGATAAAATGCTGGTGGAATCTGGATCGGGATTGTATTGTATCTGTAGATCACTTTGGGTAGAATTGACATTTTCACTATGTTAAGTCTACCTATCCATAAGCAAAGTATATTTTTCCACTTATGCGGGTCTCTTTTGGTATCTTGCAGTAGTGTCTTGTAGTTTTCATTGTATAGGTCTTTTACATCTCTAGTTAGATTTATTCCTAAGTATTTGATCTTCTTGGGGGCTATTGTAAATGGTATTGATTTGGTGATTTCCTCTTTGAGGTTCTCTTTGTTGGTGTAAAGGAATCCAACTGATTTTTGTATGTTTATCTTGTATCCTGAAACTTTGCTGAAATCTTCTATTAGTTCTCTTGTGGATTCTTTGAGGGTTTCTGTTTATAAGATCATATCATCTTCAAATAGAGATACTTTGACTTCTTCCCTACCAATCTGGATGCCCTTTATTTCTTTTTCTAGCCTAATTGCTCTGTCTAGGACCTCCAGCACAATGTTGAATAAGAGTGGTGATAAAGGACATCCTTGTCTGGTTCTCATTCTCAAGGGGAATGCTTTCAAAGTTTCTCCATTTAGGATGATGTTGGCTGTTGGCTGTTGGCTTTGTGTAAATGCCCTTAATTATACTGAGGAATTTGCCTTCTATTCCTATTTTGTTGAGAGTTTTTATCATGAGTTGGTGTTGGACTTTGTCAAATGCCTTTTCTGCATAGATTGATAAGATCATGTGGTTCTTGTCTTTTATGTGATGGATTACATTGATTGTTTTTCTAATGATGAACCATCCCTGCATACCTGGTATAAATCCTACTTGATCATGGTGAATTATTGTTTTGATATGTTGCTGAATTCTATTGGCTAGAATTTTGTTGAGGATTTTTGAGTCAATGTTCAGGAGGGATATTGGTCTGTTATTTTCTTTTTTTGTAGCATCTTCACCTGGTTTTGGTATCAGGGTTATGCTGGCTTCATAGAATGAGTTTGGGAGTATTCCATCATTTTCTATGCTGTGAAATACATTTAGTAGTAGTCCACCCTAATCTTCTTTAACATAAAATTACAATCACGAAATGGAGGACAACCACAGAGTACTGGGAATCATGGCCCAATCAAAGTGACACATATTTTGGGGGGACAAAATTCAATGCATGGCATTCTACACTTTGGCCCCAAACATTCATGTCCTTGCCAGAGGTAAAACATACTCACCCCATCGTATCATAGCAGAAGTCTTAAACCAACTCCAAGTCCAAAGTCCAAAAATTCCTCTTCGTCTGTGAAATCTAGAATACAAGCTATGCGCTTCCAAAGTACAATAGCAGAACAGGCACAAGCTAGACATTTCCATTAGAAACAGGAGAAATTGGTGGGAAAGAAGGCATAACAGGCACCAAGCAAGTCAGTAGAACACATTAAATTAGCCCTCAAGGCTTTGAAAATAATACTCTGTTCTCTGAGACCATGCACACAATGGCCCTGCCTTCCAGACTCTAGATATTGGCCACACTCTCTAAATTCTGAGTAGAGGCCCCTGAGTCCTGGGCTTTAGCTCCGCCTTTCAGGCCCACTGGGATGGCAACTCTGCTCCCTCAGCTTTAGGCGCACCATTCTCCTAGTCCATCTGAGTGGTGACTCCACTCCTAGAAATACCAAAGGCCATGGCTCCATCCTTTGAAACCCCAGAGGTCGTGGCCATACCTTTTGAGACTGAGGCAGCTCAGCTGCCTGTGTTCCTTGGCCTCTCTGCCCTTGGGCTTCACAAGCGCATCTGCCTTGGTGGGGCAAGTGTTCCAAAGCTCCGTAGCTCCACTGATAAGTGCCTGGAGGCACCTAACCCCACAAGGAAGCCTCCTGAGCACAGACACTCAGCTCTCTTGCTCTGTGGGTTGGCTCCAGTGGTGTCTGGCACTGGTCTCCTGGTTCTGCTGCTACTGGTCGACTGCTGCTAGTCCTCTGCTGCTGCTGGTTTGCTGCTGTTGTTTCTCACCATCTGCGCCTTCTCTGGTGTTAACAATTCTCCTCACTTCCTTCTGAGTCCTCTATTCATTCACAGTTTCAAAACTGCTTCCACATTTTAGGTATCTGTTAGAGCAGCACCCCACTATCTCAGTATCAAATTCTATCTTGGTCATCTAGTGTTGCTATAACAGAAATACCGCAAGTGGATGGCTTTAACAGAGAGAAATTTATTTTCTCATGGTCTAGTAGGTTAAAAGTCCAAATACAGGGCTTCAGCTCCAGGGGAAGGCTTTCTCTCTCTGTTGGCTCTGGAGGAAGGTCCTTGTCTTCAGTCTTCCCTGGGACTAGGAGCTTTTCCATGCAGGAATCCTGGGTCCAAAGGAAGCGCTCTGCTCCCGACACTACTTTCTTGGTGTTATGAGGTGCCCCCTCTCTGCTTGCTTCCCTTTCCTTTTATCTCTTGTAAGATAAAAGGTGGTGCAGGCCACACTCCAGGGAAACTCCCTTTACATTGGATCAGGGATGTAACCTTAGTAAGGGTGTTATAATTCCACCTTAATCCTCTTTAATGTAAAATTACAATCACAAAATGGAGGACAATCACACGATACTGGGAATCATGGCCCAACCAGGTTAACACATATTTCTGGGGGACACAATTCAATCTGTAACAATACCTCACCACTTGCAGTGTCAAAAGGCACCTAGGAGGCTTTTGAAAGTCACTGTTATGGCCATATATTACATGTTGATACTGTAAATAATCTAGAAAAAGAGAGTTTTAAACTATTTCCCATCTAGGAGTGGCCACAATCCTGTACAAGTCATTTGGGGTCCCTGGAAAACAACGTCCCCCACCAACCGTGAAATACACTGAGGCCCTGGAGCTCGTGTTTAGCATGTTCGATACTTCCATGTACACAGGTGGGATCCCCAGACTGCTCCGCCTGTTCATTCTAAAATCCTGGTGAGAATTCTGCGGGTCCTGGGATAGACTCTTAAGATTCAGTAAGAGAAGAACTGAGGAGCACCTTTTTTATAATCAGAATTGACCTGACTTTACTGCTTGTCCTTTATCTAACTCTTCTGCAGACAGTGAAGTATTACGCAGAAGATGACCAGATATATTTACAGGTTGTTATTTGGATTCATGAACTTTTAGATTGATTTTTCATATAAGCAAAAAACATGTGCATTGTGATTACAAAGTAATGTGACTGATTTTTCGTTTTCAAATTATTTTTATTTTAACAAATGTGCTATTGCGTCCAAGTAAATGTTGTTATGGGAGATGATGTCTTTAGTTTGATAACTTCATCATTGCTTAAAATGCAATTAAAATTTCAGGCCCATTGGTACATTCACTTGAACATTCTCAGTTGTTACTTTTGGGAAAGACAAATTCCTTTGTTTCCTATTTGGTGAAAACAAGTTGGGAAAAACTATTTTTACTCAAAAATCCACAATGAGACTACAAATAAGGAGACTGGTTTTCTTACGTGGCTAAAAATTTTAGTATAGAAACATTTCCAAAAAGAAAAAAAGGATTTCCAAAATGTTTAGAACAATGTTTTTGAAACCATGCTAACATTGAAAGAAGCATTCCATAGTGTCTTTTGAAGGTCAGTATTCACTTGACTATATACGTTTTGACATATATACTAGTACATTTTAATAGTAACATCACAGTTATTAATGCTTGGCCTTTTACCCTCCTTCAGTCATTCTCTCTTCTGGAAGCATAGTGGGAAAAAAAAGAATTCGTATTCTTGTTACTATTTAGAATATAAATGGTTTGTCTCCTATTTGATTAGTAAAACAAACATTTGCAAATCTCTTGTAAATTATTTTCATAAAAGAAGAAGTGTTTAGCTTGTTTTTAACTTTTCATTCATTTACACAAGTAAGTACTATTTGAAATGAAGTTCCAAAGTTGACAATAAATAAATCTGGGGTTCTGTTAGCCTCTGCCGCCTCTTATTGATTTAGTTAAGTTATTGGGAGGAGCCCTGGTGACACAGGGGTTGAGAGCTTGGCTGTTAACCAAAAAGTTGGCAGTTCAAATCCATCAGCCACTCCTTGGAAACCCTATGGGCACCCTGTCCTATATAGGGCCACTATGAGTCGGAATCAACTCAACGGCAATGAGTTAACGGGTTTAAGAAGGATTTGGGATTATTTTCAACCAAAACTTATTTCAAAAGAAATGCTGTTTTCCAACAGGCCAGATTCATGTTGACAACAAATTGAGGGACATACAGTGCCAAGTGGACTGAGGACAGAGAGTGAAAGAGGGATCATTCACTGACCTCTTTCTTAGTCAGGAGCTGACGCCAGAGGAAATCTCTGCCAACATGACTGAGATGCTGCTGGCCAGCGTGCACACAGAGTGTCCTTATCTTGTTTGCTCCATAAACAAAGCCCAGTTAAACCTGAGTGGCCTTTTCTGATAATCAGATGCGATTTGCTTACTTGTAAGGCAGAAGCTGCAGTTATAGGCTCTAGGAGCACAGTACTTGTACTAGCTAAATGTTTGCTTCACTGCACAAGGTGTGCCTTTAGAAAAATATGTATAAAATGTGAAGCTAAGGCACACAATGAATTTTGGAAAAAAGTGTGCCCATAATTTCATTGTCACACACACACAGCCACAATAAGCTAAAAAGTTTAAAAATCATTCCTGATTTGCAAACATTTTGTCCATTGTTTCATAATATTAGAAATTAAGAGGGCACAGACATTAAAATAAAAACCTTATTATTTGTCATTTAAAATATTCCAGGCCATTGGAGAATTCCCCAATTAGTTGTAAAAAGCCAACCTAACCTAAACCTGTTAAAGAGGGTATAAAGAAAGAAAAGTTTAATAAACAGCTTGACTTATGAATATATGTGTGTGTGTATGTAAATTCTAAATAAAATACTAGTGATTAGAATCCGTCCGCGTAGCAGATGAGTAATATACTATGGTCAAAGAGTTTAATTCCCAGAATTTAAGTGTGGTTCAACATCAGAACGAAACAGAGCATTTGGAGGAAACGCCACACACTACCGTTAAGTGAGAAAAGAAGGTACAGGGGAATGTGCATGCTGTGTTCCCACTAGGAGAGCAAGCAGTGGCCCCCTCTGTGTGTATGTGCACATTTCTGGGGGATTCCACGACCGTGGAGAGAAGTTGAGGGACACACAGCGTGGGTAGCATGGGTTATTTGGCTGCATGAAGGTGGTAAGAGGGGGATGGGGAGCCTGGTTCCTTCCAAAACCACGCATAAGAGGATACATTTATGTAAGATGATATCCACATGGGTGCATGTACAGAGGAATCTCCAAATTAACCTAAAGGAGACTGTAACAGGAGAAAAAGCAGGCTGCCCTCTCAGTGGTTGGTAAAGGAAAAGCTGGCTGAGTGAGCTTCTGGCAGGACACTAGGGAAGCTCTGAGCTGCAGTGGGATGTTGCTGATGTTCCGGTTGAAAGGGAATAGTTAAGATTTGCATGGCATTTCACTGTTTCCAAGCACTTCCACAAACACCTCTCTGTTCCCACAGCAACCTGTAAGGTAGGCGTTATTGTCGTTCACAGGTGGGGAAGCTAAGCAACTGAGCTGTTCCTTCAGAGCTTTTCCTCTACATGAGTGACTTGAATAGGGCACAGACTCTAGGGTTGGTTTAGATTACTTGTATCATAGTGTGACTTAAACATGCAAAAGCAAAAAACTTTGTATAAGCTCTTTGTTCTTACGGGTCTTGTTAACAACTGTAAAACAAAAAAATACATAAACAATACAATCAATGAAAATTATGATTAGCTACATGAATGTGATGGATGATGTGGGTTTGCTCGAACTAAGTCACCGCTTGAATCCTGAAGGAATGAATGACCTGTCTCTAAATCGATGTTCTTTTATCTCCTGCTCCCCCTGGTGGTAACTAAGAACATCACAATGAGATTGAGTGAGGAACGAACCTGTTCTGTTTCAGCATCCTAAGACAGAAGCTAGCGAAGGGAGACAACTTCTTACAACTTCAAACTCATTTTTATAAAAACTAAATTTATTGTAGTATGATTTATGCACAATAAACTGCATCCATTTAACCTTTACAATTCAGTAAGTTTTGACAAGTGTAATTATTTATGAAAACGTGACCACAATCAAAATACTGAACATTTTCACCCTGAAAAGCTCCCCTTGCCCCTTTTTAGTCAACCTTTCCCTATGAAACCCACCTCACTGATGTGTTTTTTGTCACTGTGCACCAGTTTGCACTTGTCCAGAAACATCTATAAATGGAATCATGCAGTATGTATTTCCTGTGTCTGGCTTCTTTCACTTAGCAAAATGATTTTGAGATTTGTCCATGTTGGTGCATATAGCAGTAGTTTATTCTTTTTTTATTATTGAGCAGTATCCCGTTGTATGAATATACCACATTTTTTCTATAAAAATGTGATTTTAATAGAACTTTTTTTTCTGTTCTTTTAATAGAAAGCAACTAAATTATTTCCGTATTGTTTATACAAGAGAGCTTGCCCTCTAAAAATATATATATACCTCTTACAGGGAAATGAAAATCTTGGGACCTAGGAGAATAAAATAGAGTTGTTCTCAACAAATGGAAATTAATTCTTCAGACTGAAAGCGTATAAAAATGATACTGGTTTGCACAAGTGAGCAATTCAATTAATATATGCTGACTTTACTTGATATATGCATGGGAATAATGGCTAATTAATATTCCTTTCAAGTCCCTGGGTGGTGCAAATTGTTAATGAGCTTGGCTACTAACTGAAAGGTTGTAGGTTTGAGTCCACCCAGAGGTGCCTTGAAGAAAAGGCCTGGTGATCTTCTGAAAGTGAACCGCTGACAACTCTATGAGTACATTTCTACTCTGACACACGTGGGTTTTCATGAGTTACAGTCGCATTGACAGCTGCTAGTTTAACCCTTTCATGGAAAGTGGGATATATAGCCTGTGTTACGTTTTCTGTCCCTGGAGGTTTACTGGCAGACACTTGAGCCACTTTAGTACGTTCTGGCCTCGTGGTGGGTACTGGTGCAACTGCCTAAAAACCAAGGAAATTGGTCTGTGCCACATTTGAGTGTTGAGAGCCATGTGTATGAGGGGATGCTTCCTGCAGGAGTGATTGTGTAGAACTTTTGTGTCTTTTGTCTTATTGGGAAAGTACAGTTACCGACGTTCTGAAACATTCAAGTAAAAGAGTAGAAACCGTTTGTGATGCACTTTCTGGGCCCTGGGACCAGTATGTCCCAAGTGTGTGGTGTGCTTCATGGAACGTGGTACTGATATGGCCCCGTCTAAATCAAACTGATAACAATTACGTGCAGCAAGTACAATGTTTATTTAGTATTTCGTGTGTGTTTTTGGAAAGTTGAGTAGGATAGTTTATGGCTCAGGTGTAACCAGGAAGTGGGATGCACCATGGGACTGGTATGTCCCGTGTGTGTGGTGTGCTTCATGGAACGTGGGACTGATATGTGCCACTTGCAATTGGCATCCCATTTTTTCAAATAATAAAAAACTACCTACAATGATTCAACATCCATTCTATTAGTGAAAAAACGTGGCATCACCAAAGAATTCCAAAGCCCCCCCAGCTTATCTGTGAAAGGGTTAATAATCGTTTGCCACCCTCCCCCACCCCCCATCTCCCTAGACCTGCTCTAGACTGAGCAGCCAGTGCAGGCCTAGCCCACTGTGGGATTCCAGAAGATCAAATGGTTCTAAGGTTGATGAGCAGCCTCAGGTCCTTTTTTGGAAAACCAAGTGACCTCTGCAAAGAAGGTCACATGAAGCTACCAGTCATAACCTCCAGGCTTGGTCAGCCTTTCCTACAACCTCTCAGGCTTCCCTGAAGAGGAGCATATTGCTCTTAAAACATACCCGCTGCCGTGGAGTCGATTCTGACTCATAGCAACCCTATAGGACAGGGTAGAACTGCCCCATAAGGTTTCCAAGGCTGTAATCTTTACAGAAGCAGACTGCCACATCTTTCTCCCTCGGAGTGGCTGGTGGGTGCTATCTGCCGACCTTTTGGTTAACAGCTGAGCACTTAACCATTGGGCCACCAGGGCTCCTTTATTGCACATAAGTGATTAAAGAAGAGTTCCTGAGTGATCTTTCTGTGGCTCTTCATTACAAGGGCACTTGAATCACATAGGTGACATTATTTTCCAAAAATATTTCTTTTTTGCATGAACTAAGTTAAAGAATGTTTTATTCTGGTAGGACATAAAATGATAAAATTGTATGGGTAGAATTTTGCACCTACACTTATTCACAAAGTGACCACGTGTGAAATCGCCTGCAGTCTTAACGCCTTGGTTTCTCACCTGTGTGTCTGTGTCTGCCAGTTTGTTTCATGAGACGTCCTTCACGTTATCTTGGGCTGTGTATCCCCTGGCAAGGCACGCAGAAGTGCAGCAGACTATGTACTGGGAGATGGCTAAAAATTTGGGGGAAAGGCGTGTTCCAACCGCAGCAGATGTCCCTAAAGTGACACTGGTCAGAGCGCTCCTGATGGAAATCCTGAGGTGACAGCTCACCAAAATTCACACCAAAACAAAGTGTCCTTAAGTCTCTGATTCTTTATCGTAGTGACTGCACTTTTGACTTAAGAACTGGGTCCTAAACAAATCCTCCAGCTACCCTCAGTGGGTAAAATGTTCACATGGTAGTTAAAAGGAAGGAAGCTCACTGATGTGTGTATTTAGGAAGAAGATATTCGTAACTGTCTTTATTTCCTCTCATTAGAATGACAGAAAGGCTATTCTGTCTTGTGGTTTGAAATACCAATGGGTTTTTAAAAAAATTGTTTTATTGTAGTAAGAAATATATAACAAAACATTTGCCAATTCAACATTGTTTACATGTTCAATTCAGTGACATTGGTTACATTCATCATGTTGTGCAGCCATCACAACTGACTTTTCCCAAATTATTCCATCACTGTTAACAGAAACTCAATGCCCCCTAAGCAGAGACTCCCCTTTTTCCCCTCCCTCCCACCCCTGTTGTTGTTGTTTTTAGGTGCTGTCAAGTCGGTTCCCACTTATAGCAACCCTATGCACCACAGAACAAAACACTGCCCGGTCCTGCTCCATGCTCACAATCATTGTTATGCTTAAGCCCATGGTTGCAGCCACTGTGTCAGTCCATCTCATTGAGGGTCTTCCTCTTTTTCGCTGACTCTGTACTTTACCAAGCATGATGTCCTTCTCCAGGGACTAGTCCCTCCTGATAACATGTCCAAAGTATGTAAGACATAGCCTCACCATCCTTCCTTCTAAGGAGCATTCTGGTTGTACTTCTGCCAAGACAGATTTGTTCGTTCTTTTGGTAGTCCATGGTATATTCAATATTCTTCACCAACACCACACTTAAAAGGCGTCAGTTCTTCTTTGGTCTTCCTTATTCATTGTCCAGATTTCGCATGCCTCAGTGACTGATTGAAAATACCATGGCTTGAGTCAGGCGCACCTTAGTCTTCAAGGTGACATCTTTGCTTTTCAACACTTGAAAGAGGTCTTTTGCTGTAGATTTGCCCATGTCATGCATCTTTTGATTTCCTGACTGCTGCTTCCACAGATGTTGATTGTGGATCCAAGTAAAATGAAATCCTTGACAACTTCAATCTTTTCTCCATTTATCATGTTGCTTATTGGCCCAGTTGTGAGGATTTTTGTTTTCTTTATGTTGAGATGTAATCCATACTGAAGACTGTGGTCTTTGATCTTCACCAGTAAATGCTTCTAGTCCTGTTCACTTTCAGAGGATTAATCCTCCTTGCTTCTGTTCCTTTGAAGATAAAACGGAGCAAGATCAATTTGTTAGGAAAATACTTTGGGCTGCTTGGCCTGTTTACAAAACACAATGGTTTGCATGTGAGTGTCCTAATCTGGACTGGAAGCACCTCATAGTAAGGCTCATCACTCACAGGCAAGGTAGTACTGGCCTGACAGCTGGAAAAGCTGGAGCGTGAAAGATAAGGATACTTTGGTGGAGGGGGGGAGGCTTGGGTGGGAGGTGGGATTAGGTGATCCACGAAATTCCTTTCCTCTGGATCCAGTGATCCTAAACACAACAGTCCTCAGGGGAGGAAACGACATGACAGAGTAAAGTTATTTTACATTGTACACATGGAAAGAATTCTTCCGACCTGATTTGATCATGACACTTTAATTTGTGTTATACCCTCAGTCCACAGCAGGCTGCAAAATCGCTGAAACAGAAACTGGCTGTGTGGTTTACTGACACTGGTCAATTAAACTTTTATTCAGCGTTTTCTTAGGATCATCCCTCTGAGGCAATCCAAAAGCTGAAGTAGCATTTCTCAAAATGCATTTCATGATACTCTAGTCCACTGAACTGTTCCTTGATAGAGGGGCCCATGGTTCTGAGTCATACACCCCTGCTTGGGAAACTCACCGTGCATAGCAGCGTGCTAAGGCTCTGTCTTGTGTTTCACACACTTTTTTTGACCATGGAACCTTTTTTCACATTCCTCTGAACACTCCTGGACAAAGCTGTATTAGGAGCCACAAAGGTTCTTGCAAAAATTTTCAGTTAAAACTGTACTATGTGTTACTTTTTAGAATTTTAAATGGGAATGACAATATATACAGATTTTAAAATGTTTGATAAACCATTTTAAAAGTCACCACTGCCATTCCTGTCCCCATTGGCATCTTTCCAGGCTGTTTTCAGTGCTGCCAGGGAATGGCCAGGCCACCCAGGAAGACCTGGTTGTTGGTGGGTATCTGATTCCCAAGGGGGTGAGTGTGGTTGACACCGGGGTGGGGAGTTGGGCTGCACAGAGGTGGTTGAATGGCAATCTGTTTCTATATTTAGGAACTCCTCGAACCTAAGCAAAATTAATAGATTTCCTTTTCTTCTGTATATGTTTTACAATGAAAATGGAGCTTTAGGAGCAAGGAGGTGAATTGTGTGATCTCACCGCTCTGGCAAAGACAAAACAGCTCACAGCCCCATTCCCCCTGGGAGTCACAGAAGCAGCAAGTCCTTCTCAGTGGCTCCATTGACATTCAGGGTGGGTGTGAACTTGGGGGTGGGGTGCGCTTTGCTTTGGGTCTGCATGGCTTCCTGGGGGGAGGGTTTCCGGGAGGGCTCTCGTTCCAGCTCTGCTCTGTGCAATGTCGTTCTTTATTCCCTCCTGTTATAAATGGTTTCCTCAGACCCAGCTGGCCCTTTGTCACTATGCCACAGCCTATGAAGATGAGGGCTTCTCCAGGGCCAAGAAATTCTGGTCAGAGCTCTCGTTGTGGAAAGGAATCATGGACCGAGCTGACAATTTTGGTTCCATGGCATTTGGCTATAGGGTTCTCAGCTGTATCGCGTGGAGGATTGCAGAACTAGAGATCCACCTCATGATCCTAGTAGGAAACATGGGAGCAGACTTTGGCCTGTGGCATTGGACCTTTTTTACTGGGCTCCACTGCATCAAGACTTTTAGGTTAAAAAAGAAAACATGGTTTTGAAAAGCTAAAAGCAAGAGCTTTGTATTAAATCCCTTTTATATTTTAAAACACCACCCACTGGCAGTAGCCATTGTTAGTCCCATGGCCGCCTGCCCTTTGTCCTCCTCCTTGGAATTGTGTGGACAGAAGCTAGAGATGTTGGAGGACTGAGGAACTAAGAGGTGTGTGTGTGTGTGTGTGTATGTGTGTGATGTGGGGAAAGCACAAGGGCCCAAGAGCTCAACTCTCTTCCTCGCACAGGTAGTTCTGGAGAGAGGTGAGTGTGGGGAGAAAGGTGAGTGTGGGGAGGGGTCCAATGAATGGTGCCTGAAAATCACAGGGGAGCTTCTTCTCTTTTGTTTGTTTGTTTTTTATAGTGCTAAATGCATATGTAACAAACATTTGCCATTTCAACATTCTTGACATGTACAATTCAGTGACATTAATTATGTTTATCATGTTCAACCATCATCTTAATCTGTTTCCCGTTTTTCCATCACCCTTAACAGAAGCTCGGTATCCCCTAAACAGTGAATCCCCCCTTTCCCCTCCAGGGATGTGCCTTAAAATGCAGATTCCCTGCCTCCAGCCACAGAGCTAAGACTTTGGTGAGTCTGGGGTATGGTCCCTGGGTGATTCTGACGCTGCTGGTCCATGGACCACATTCTGAGAAACACTGGAATTGTAAGAAAGCATACGTGGTGGGGCTTGGGGGCATCTCCCGCCACTCTCTAGTGGCAGTAGCTGTGATTCCACTTTTTGGGATCACGGTTGAAGTTGCTGGCCTCTGGGACATCCTCTTGTTAGATGCAGGTCACCGAGGAGGGTCATACTTCCCACTCTGAATGTCTCCTTAGCTCATTCCGGCTTACTTGCTGCAGTCATTTATACAGAGCAGTGGTTCCCAAGCTTGTCTGGGTTGGGAAACATCAGGAAGTCCTGTTTTCATGAAAAGAGTGCCTTACATGGTAATATCTAAATATTAAAACATATAATTTTGTGCTTATACTCTTATCTGAGTTTAAGCTGTAGCAGAAACTGAACAACATTTAAGGAAATTTTATGAAAGGAAATCTTGTAGTAGAGAAAATTCTACCCATTATTCTTCCTGAAAATTCGGCAAGACCAGCATTAACCTATTTTAGCAAGGGAAAACTTCAGTCCAAGGTTTGGGAGGTGCTGCCATGGACTCTGAGAGTTGGAAGAATATAGGGACTATCTAGTAATCCAGTCTCCCCATTTCATTGATGAGGAAGTTGAGGTTTGGAAAGGTGGGGGCCACCTGCCGTAGTCACAGGTGGCAGGTGCAGGACTTGATCGATGTTCCTTCCTGTTTCCTACATGCCACAGAGATGCTTTTCTCCAGGCTGTCAGGGAGCTTAGAGCAGAACACTGAGGGGCTGGGAACTTTATGGAAGGTGGCATGAGAGAGTGTCATGGACCAGGTCTGAGAGGGAAGTGGAGAGAGATTCTGGATAGTCAGGCACTGGGGGAGGCATCAAAAGCCTGGAGAAGGGGACGGGATGTTGCCCAGGGAGGGCAGGAAGAGAAGGCGGCATGGGAGAGCACCACCTTTGCCCAGAGCTGGCTCTGGTGGGGGAAAAGCACAGGTGACCCAGCAGGACTGAGGAGATGGGGCCAGCAGTGTCAAGTGGCCATCACCACTATGTCAGATGTGGGAGGCTGAGAGCTGGCATGGCCGGCTGGGCGTGGCTACCAGTGCAGTGGTCCTGCAAGGCTGCTGGGAATGAGGGGCCCTTCAGACATGGGCCCAGGTCCAGCCATGTCCAATAAGAGAGGCCTCTCATTGTGGGTGGGCGGGAGCATGGTTAGCTGCTCTGAGCCTGTTTTCTTGTCCACTGATAAGCCAGTAGTGCCTATCCCACTGTGTGTGAAGAATGAATATGGTGCATGCGTGGAGCCTTGTGCCTAAGAAGTGGACACTGCTGTTACTGGTGCACCTACTCTAAGTTTCTGCCACTGGTTGTGTTTTCACGTGTTCCATGTAATGCTGCTGCATACACCATTTACAGCAGATGCCATTTCCAGTCAGCTGTGTGAGGTTTCCTGGGCTCTGGCAGCCTGAAGAACCAGGGGGCGGGGGAAGACACCCAAGAGGGGCCAGCTGAGGGTACACTGCTCACTGTGCCTGTAGGTGGTAGAGTTGGGAGAGGGTTAGAAACTGGATGTTTGTTGTTGGTGGTGATGTTTTTATGTTTGATGTTGTTGGTTGTCATGGATTGAATTGTGCCCCCCCAAAATATCTGTCAACTTGGCTCAGTCATGATTCCCAGTATTGTATAATTATGTACCATTCTGTAATCTGATGTGATTTTCTTATGTGCTGTAAATTCAGTCACTATGATCTAATAAGATGGATTAGCGGCAGTTATACTGATGAAGTATACAAGATTGGATAGTGTATTAAGCCAATCTCTTTTGAGATATAAAAGAGAGAAGTGAGCAGAAACACAAGGGAACCTCATACCACCAAGAAAGCAGTGCTGGGAGCAGAGCATGTCTTTTGGACCTGAGGTTTCTGTGCAGAGAAGCTCCCAGACCAAAGGAAGATTGATGACACAGACCTTCCTCCAGAGCCAATGGAAAAAGTGTTCCCCTGGAGCTAAGCCCTGAATTTGGACTTGTAGGCTACTGGACTGTGAGAGAATAAACTTCTCTTTGTTAAAGCCATCAACTTGTGGTAATTCTGTTATAACAGCACTAGAAGACTAAGACAGAATTAGGTACCAGGAGTGGGGTGCTGCTCTAACAGGTACCTAAAATGTGGAAGCAGTTTTGAAACTGTGAATTGATAGAGATGCGTCAGCAGCAGAGAACCTGCAGCAGCAGAGAAGGGGCAGTGGCAGAGAACCAGCAGCAGCAGAATGAGGAGACCAGCACGAGACGGCACTGGAGCCAACCCACGGAACAAAAGAGCTGAGTACTTGTGTGCCGGAGGCTTCCTGGTGGAGTGAGATGCCTCTGGGCACTTATTGGTGGAGCTACGGAGCTTGGAACACTTGCCCCAGCAGGGCAGATGCAGGCGTGAGGCCCGAGGGCCGAGGGGGTTACAGGAAGCCGAAGCTGAAGAGACAAGGAACACAAGAAGCTGAACTGCCTCAGTCTCAAAAGCGTGGACCCCATGACCTGTGGTATTTCTAAGGGTGGAGTTGTCACTCTGATGGACTAGGAGAATGGTGTGTCTAAAGCCAAGGGAGCAGAGCTGCCGTCCAAGTAGACCTGGAAGGCAGAGCTGAAGCCCAGAGCCGAGGGGCCTGCACTCAGAATCCAGAGGCCGTGGCCAATACCTACAGTCTGGAGGGCACGGCCATTGTGTAAATTGTCTCAGAGAACAAAGGATTATTTTGAAAGCCTTGAGGGCTAATGCAGTGCATTCTGCTGACTTGCTTGGGGCCTGTTGTCCCTTCGTTTCCTCCAGTTTCTCCCATTTGTAATGGAAATGTCTAGCTTGTGCCTGTTCTGTCATTGTACATTTGGAAGCAGATAACTTGTGTTATAGATTTCACAGATGGAGAGGAATTTTTGGATTTTAAACTTGGAGTTAAGACTTTTCTTGTGACATGATGAGATGAATATGTTTTCTATGTTGCAAGGACACGAATTTTTGGGGGCCAAAGGGTGGAGTGTCAAGGATTGAATCGTGTCCCCCAAAGATATCCATCAACTTGACTGGGCCATGATTCCCAGTATTGTATAATTGTGTACCATTCTGTAATCTGATGTGATTTTCTTATGTGTTGTAAATTCAATCACTATGATCTAATAAGATGGATTAGCGGCAGTCATACTGATGAGGTATACAAGATTTGATAGTGTCTTAAGCCAATCTCTTTTGAGATATAAAAGAGAGAAGTGAGCAGAGACACATGGGAGCGTCATACCACCAAGAAAGCAGCGCCAGGAGCAGAGCGCATCCTCTTTTCGACCTGAGGTTCTTGCGCAGAGAAGCTCCCAGACCAAGGGAAGATTGATGACACAGACCTTCCTCCAGAGCCGACAGAGAAAGCGTTCCCCTGGAGCTAAGCCTGAATTTGGACTTGTAGCCTACTGGACTGTAAGAGAATAAATTTCTCTTTGTTAAAGCCATCCACTTGTGGTAATTCTGTTATAGCAGCACTATAAGACTAAGACATTGGTGATGTTTGTTTGTTGGCAGCTATTAACATACAGCTATAACCAATGAAGTTTTTGCATAGAGAGTCCTCATTTCTACTTGTGCCAATATAGAGAAGCAGCATCATTATTTGTAATTGCCAAGGAAAAAAAGGAGAAGCCTCAAATAAACAGTGCTAGGAATGAGAAAGGAGACATAACTACAAGTATAGTAGAAATTTTTTTTAAAATCATGAAAATACCATGAACAGCTTTTTGCCAAGAAATTTGTAAACTTAGGTAAAGTGTACAATTTACTAGAAAAATATAAAATTGCCCAAATTGACTCAAAAGAAAGAAAAGAGACCTAAGATTTTGACTAAATTGAATCAGTGGTAAAAAGATCTACCCCCAAAATGTTGCAGAACTAGACAATTATACCAAACATTCAATGAACAGGCAATCATGATCATATACAAATTCTTCCAGAGAATAGAAAAAGGAAAACTTTCCCATCTTATTGTATGAGACTTGCATAACCTTGATATTCAAACCTGAAAGGATAATATGAGAAAGGAAAACTGCAGACCAATTTCATTTATTAGGAAATAAGAAAAAAATCGAAAATGAAAAATTGGCAAATTGCATCCAGCAATGTATAAAATAAATGCATCCTCAACAAATCAGGTGTATTTAGGTATGCAAAGATGGTCTACCACAAATTTGTTAATATAATTAGAAAATTATATGACCATCACAAAAGACAACTAATAAAATTCAACACTCCTTCATGAAATCTCTTAGCACACCAAAACCAGAAAGGCCTTCCTTAACCAAATAAATGCTGTCTCCCCCCGCCCTACAGCCAACATGCACATAGGCTATAGGGAAGGAAAGGAATGACCTTAATGATGAAATGCTAAACGTGTTCCCTCACAACCAGAAACGAGACATTTTCATTGCACAGAAAAACCTTTAGAATGATACACCCCTGCTCCGTGGAAGTTGGAGAGTCGAGGTGGGACAGGGGGCTTCGTTTTTTGCTTTTGCGTCTTCTATGTAGGTGTAATGTTTTCAGTGAGCATGTGGTGTCCACTCAGGAAGGAATAAAAACTGTGTAGCACAATGAGCTTAAAGTTAGGGGAGCTGTGACACATGGGAATGTGCAAGCAGCTCTCTTGGGTCAGCGAAGGCAAATTAGATGTTCAGATGGAGCCATCTTGATGCTGCAGCTGCCTAAAGACAAGCCATTCAATTAGACTCTTCACCATTGACAAGGTGACCAGTTCAGCACACCTCCTCATTGCAGTCCCAGCCTCTGCCTTACCCCATCCTGGAGCCCCAGCCCACCCTGAGGATCCATCAGTGGGTCTGGGGAGGGAGTCAGGGAAGAACAGGGACTTCCTGGGTCACATGAAACAATATATGTTCTCCAGAACCGACATCCTGTATTAGGTGGTTGGACAAAGTGGGCAGTGCAGAAGGGTTTTAAGTAGAAGACCAATATATCAATAGCTAATCTGCCACACTGACTGTCCTAGTGGGCTAATGAGCAAGGTCCTCCCTCCCCTCCAGGAAGCTACAAGCATTTGGACAGAGGGTGACTTTAATGGAGAGTGTCAGATTACTGCTGCAGGCTGATGGATACTTGGAGTCCCTGGGTGGTTCAAACGTTTAACAAGCTCAGCTGCTAACCAAAAGGTTCATACAGAGGTGCCTTGGAAGAAAGGCGTGATGATCTATTGAAAATTAAGCCACTGAAAACCCTATGGAGCACAGTTCTACTTTGATACTTGTGAGGTTGCCATGAGTCAGTGTAAAAATGGTGTGGTGGTGGCGTCTGACCACCTCTGACATCATGAGGGAGGAGAACCATTATCAGCATCAACAGCTTGAGGCTGATTCCTATGGGGCAGAGGTCAAACATACCTCCCAACTTTTACCAATTCTGACACCAGCCGTCCCACCCATGGCACTCTCTACTTCTCTTCTGAGTTCAATAAATCTTTGCAATGGCCACACAGAACTCACAGACAATACTCATGATTATGGGGTTTATTAGGGAGGTAACAGGATACAACTCAGGATCATAAACGACTCAGGATGCAGTTCTTTGATCAGGACAGTTTCTTCTCAGCCGTGCCCACAGGCAGGCCTCTCTCTGGCCCTCAGCCCCTCGGCCCAGCCTCTGCCCTGCTCAGGCAGGTGTTACAAAGATTTTTAGCTCCACCAATAAGTGCCCAGAGGCACTCCACTTGGCCAGTAAGCCTCAGACTGAAGGCACTCAGCTCTCTAGCTCTGTGAGTTGGCAAGCCTAGTTCTGCCAAGTGCCTGGAGGCACCCCTCTCCACCAGCAAGCCTCCTGAGAGCAAACTTCCTACCTGAAGGTGCTCAGCTTTCTAGCTCTATGGGCCAGGAAGCCCACCATGCCGTCTCCTACTGGTCTCCTGGTTCTGTTGCCTCCAATGTTGCCATTTCCCTGCTGCTGCTTACAGCTCTCTCTCTTTCTGTCTCCTGGGTCTAGGAGGTTCTTCTTTCTTGGTGGTAGTGAGGTCTCCTCTTTCTTCCTCTGGGTGGCTCATTTTAAGCCTAGCAGGATGGCAAAACTGACGAATCTCCTTGTTAGGCCTCCAAAAGCAAAAAAACAAACAGACCATAAAACCCAAACCCGTTGCTGTCAAGTCAATTGTGACTCAAAGTGAACCTATAGGACAGAGAACTGCCTCATAGGGTTTCCAAAGGGAGACTGGTGGATTCGAACTGCCAATCTTATTGTTAGCAGCCTGAGTTCTTAACCACTATGCCACCAGGGCTCCTGTTAGCGTTCCATGCACCTTATTTGCATAGTCCCACCCACACAAGGGTGCCATACACCTTATTTGCATTATTAGTAAGCTGTCCAATCCCCCTCGGTTGGCTACAAGCACCTAATTTGCATAACTCCACCTAATCATTGTATAGTAGTCACAAAGACTATGGCTAGAAGGGCCATATTAAATAATTCACTGCACTGCAGTCAGAATCGACTGCACCACAATTGGATGGATACTTTGCTGTTCTTCAAAACTCATTGTTTAAGTACTTTCCAGTTTTACCCTGACAGGGAGGGCTGTCTCTACTTTTGAACTATAGAAATAGGAAGGGGAATCAAAAGTACAAATCAGGTATATTTAAATTAAGGACATTAAAAAGCTGAAGTTGGTTTGGATGATTCACCTTCTCCCAGCAGCTCTCCCACTGTGTTTTTTACGTCATGTGTGAGGTGGCTGTGGATTCTGCACCAGAAGAAAACCTGGAATTCACCATATTCCTCGTTTCTTCTTGCTCCTTTGATAACTTCTTTATCTACACCTATGATGGAAGCACTAGAGTTAGAATTTTAAAATGGCTAATAAAAATTGCTCGACATTCACAAGCAAGTTTTAGAGTCTCTTCTGACATCCATTTTGGTCTTTTCTTTCCTTCCTGTCTTTTTAATGACCCTTTACTTTCTTCATGTATGATGTCCTTGATGTCATTCCACAACTCATCTGGTCTTCAGTCATTAGTGTTCAACCCGTCAAATCTATTCTTGAAATGGTCTCTAAATTCAGGTGGGATATACTCAAGGTGGTACTTTGGCTCTTGTGGACTTGTTCTAATTTTCTTCAGTTTCAACTTGAACTTGCATATGAGCAACTGAAGGTCTGTTCCGCAGTTGGCCCCTGGCCTTGTTCTGACTGATGGTATTGAGTTTTTCCATCATCTCTTTCCACAGAGGTAGTCGATCTGTTCCTGTGTATTGCATCTGGCAAGGTCCATGTGTATAGTTGCCGTTTATGTTGGTGAAAAAAAGGTATTTGCAATGAAGAAGTCATTGATCTTGCAAAATTCTATCATGTGATCTCCAGCATCTCTTCTATCACCAAGGCATATTTTCCAACTACCGATCCTTCTTCTTTGTTTCTGACTTTCACATTCCAATCACCAGTAATTATCAATGCATCCTGATCGCATGTTCAGTCAATTTCAGACTGCAGAATCTGGTAAAAATCTTCAATTTCTTCATCTTTGGCCTTAGTGGTTGGTGCATAAATTTGAATAGTCATATCAACTGGTTTTCTTTGTAGGTGTGTGAATATTATCCTATCACTGAAAGCGTTGTACTTCTTGAAATGTTCTTTTTGACAATGAATGCAACACCATTCCTCTTCAAGTTGTAGTTTCTGGCATAGTAAACCATATGATTGTCCGATCCAAAATGGCTAATACCAGTCCATTTCAGCTCACTAATGTATAGGATATTGATATTTATGCATTCCATTTCATTTCTGACAATGTCCAATTTTCCTGGATTCATACTTCGTACATTCCACTTTCTGATTATTAATGGATGTTTGCAGCTGTTTCTTCTCATTTTTAGTTGTGCCACATGAGCAAATGAAGGTCCTGAAAACTTGACTCCATCCATATCATTAAGGTCAACTCTACTTTGAGGAGGCAGCTCTTCCCCAGTCATCTTTTCAGTGCCTTCCAACCTGGGGGGCTCATCTTCTGGCACTATGTCAGACAATGTTCCACTGCTATACATAAGTTTTTCACTGGCTAATTCTTTTCAGAAGTAGACGGCCGGTTCCTTCTTCTTAGTCTGTCTTAGTCTGGAAGCTCAGCTGAAACCTGTCCGCCATGGGTGACCCTGCTGGTATCTGAATACTGGTGGCATAGCTTCCAGCATCACAGCAACATACAAGCCCCCACAGTATGACAAACTGACAGACACGTCTTGGAAGAAGTACAACCAGAATCCTCCTTAGAAGCAAGGATGGCGAGACTACGTCTTACATACTTTGGACACGTTGTCAGGAGGGATCAGTCCCTGGAGAAGGACATCATGCTTGGTAAAGGAGAGGGTCAACGAAAAAGAGGGAGACCCTCAATGAGATGGATTGACACAGTGGCTGCAATGATGGGCTCAAGCATAACAACGATTGTGAGCATGGTGCAGGACTGGGCAGTGTTTCATTCTGTGGTACATAGGGTCGCTATGAGTCGGAACTGACTCAACGGCGCCTAACAACAACAACAACAATAAAAGTTAAGTCATTTGATCACTTTGCTTGCATATCTTTCCCATACTAGTTTCAGAGCCATTCTGTGGACAGGTTAGACTCTCGCACAGGGCATAATTCGTGTTTTTGAATGACCAGTACTCTGTTGACGAGTGATTCAGTGTTCTGAGATAGACTGTGTGCTCTTTCACTTCTTTGGCTCCCTGGAGTCCATCGCCACGATTTTTTTTTTTTTTGTTTCAGTTGATGTTGAGTCAATTCCAACTCATGGTGGCCTCATGTTTGTCAGAGTAGAACTGTGCTCCATAGGGTTTTCGGTGGCTGATTACTCTTAAGTAGATCCTTTCTGATTACTCTTAAGATCCTTTCTTCTAAGGGGCCTTTGGGAGCATCCAACCTTGAGAAAAAGCACTCAGGGAACATGAGACAGAGCATTTCACGTTGTCCCAATTTTGAATCTTTCTTGTCTTAGCTGCTTCAACATTTTGAGATCAAACATCTTCTCGGATTAAAAAAATTCATGAAAAAAACCCATGGACCTTTGGCTCCTGGGGAGCCCATCCATGTGCACTTTGTTAGCAGAAGGTAGGCCTGGAACTTCTCATCTCAGCGGGCTCACTGACACAGTTCAAGTGTTACTGATCCCGGTGGAGGAGGAAAACAACCACTTTCCTTCCGAGAATGTCTTCGTTCTGGGAGACTTGTATATCTTTATGCAAAGTGATGTGAAAAAATTTTTATTTTACTTTTGTATATCGGAAGTTGCCTTTTCTTTGGGGCAACAGCTGTTTAAAAACCAGTGGCACTGAATTCTCATACCACACATACTGTCTTGTGTTGTTAGGTGCCGTTGAGTCAGTTTTGACTCAGCAACCCTATGTACAAAAGAGTGAAACACTGGTCCTGTGCCATCTCACAATCATTGCTATGCTTGAGTCCATTGTTGAAGCCACTGTGTCAGCCAATCTTGTTGAGGATCTTCCTCTCTTTCACTGACCCTTTACTTTTCCAAGCATGATGTCCTTATCTAGGGATTGGTCCCTCCTGATAACATGTCCAAAGTACATGAAATGACGTATCGCTATGGCTTGGGTCAGGTGCACCTTAATCCTCAAAGTGACATCTTTGTTTTGAACACTTTAAAGAGGGCTTTTGCAGCAGATTTGCCCAATGTGATACATTGCTTGATTTTTTGACTGCTGTTTCCGTGGGTGTTAATTGTGGATCCAAGTAAAATGAAATTCTCGACAACTTCAATATTTTCTCCACTTATCATGATGTTGCTTATTGGTCCAGTTGTGAGCATTTTTGTTTTCCTTATGTTGAGGTGTAATCCATACTGAAGGCTGTGGTCTTTGATCTTCATCAGTAAATGCTTTAAGTCCTCTTCGCTTTCAGCAAGCAAGGTTGTGTCATCTGCATAACACAAGTTGTTAATGAGTTTTCCTCCAATCCTGATGCCTCATTCTTCTTCATACAGTTTGGCTGTTCAGATTATTTGCTCAGCATACAGATTGAATAAGTATGGTAAAAGAATATAACCCTGACTCACATCTTTCCTGATTTTAAACCACGCAGTATCCCCTTGTTCTGTTTGAAAGACTGCCTCTTGGTCTATGTACAGGTTCCTCATTAGCACAATTAAGTGTTCCAGAATTCCCATTCTTCACAATGTTATCCGTAATTTGTTACGATCGACACAGTCGAATGCCTTTGCATAGTCAATAAAACACAGGGAAACATCTTTCTGGTATTCTCTGCTTTCAGCCAAGATCCATCTGACATCAGGAATGATATCCCTTGTTCTATGTCCTCTTCTGAATCTGGCTTGAATTACTAGCAGTTCCCTGTACTGCTGCAACTGCTTTTCAATTATCTTCAACAAAATTTTACTTGTGTGTGATATTTATCATATTGTTTTATATTTTATCCATTCTCTTGGATCAACTTTCTTTGGAATGGACACTAATATGCATCTCTTCCAGTCAGTTGGCTAGGGAGCTGTCTTCAAAATTTCTTGGTAGACTTCCAGCAACTTGGCGCTCTAGGCAGAAGCACCACACCGTCCCTCCACAGCAAAGATCTGTAAAACTAAGCCGAACAGAGAAAACAGCAATCCTGAAACCCTAAAACATCAAATGAAGAGATAAAAAACTCAGCCAAGC